GATTACGTATTAACAGTTTCAGAGGGGAGCATTATATCCATGGAGTGGCTTATTCCATATTTTGGGAAAAATTAAAGTTTTGGGTACTGCAGAGATGATAGTACCATGGGTAGGGTGCTTGCCTTGCATGCAGCCAGCCCAGGTTCAATCCCTGGCACTCCAAGTTTTAGCTAGAATGAGAGAGAGAGAGAGAGAGAGAGAGAGAGAGAGAGAGAGAGAGAGAGATAAACAGATACAGAGACAAAGAGACAGAGACAGAGAGATTGAGAGAGAGGTGGAGAGGTGGAGAGACTGAGCAAGTGTATCGGGATTAAGTAGCTTCCCTGGAATCTCACTGACCCCAGTTCAATTCCTGGCACCACTTGGTTCCTTGAGCACAGCCAGGGGTCACTAGTACAGAGCCAGCCTAGCCCCTGAGCACGGTGGGGTGTGGCCCAACACCCCCGACTCAAATACTAAGATCCACTGACTGTTGTTTTTCTGTTGAACACACTCCCAGGACCGGGTCACAAGGTACTGCAGTTTGAAGACTCCTGATACCACCAAAATTTGTTTCCAAAAGTTGGAGCACACTACAGGGCCACGGCGATGGCCCACACGTGGCCACAGACTCTCACACTGTCGGAACTCTGTTCTATGCCACACATGCTCCTATCTCGCAGGCAACATAGCCGTTCCCGAGGCTTCATTCATCTGACTGCAAGTGAGGCTGAATCTTTTTTTGTGTGTGTATGGTAAGTGATTCATTTTTATTTCTTTTCTTGCCAGTGTTACTGCTAGGCTTGCGAGCATTTTCTCTGTAGTAAACACCTTAGCTTTTTGTTATATTTACAAATGTGTCTTTTAGATGTGGTCTTTTAGGGTTGTTCTGTTTCTCTCTTTTATCTTTCACAAATAGAAGACATCTTTCGTATGTGTGTGTGTCCAATCTTTTGACTCTTTTCTTTCACGATTTCTTGTCTAAACTCTTCTTACTGCAAATGGGATCAATGTTCTATTTATTTTCTTCAGGGCTGGTTTGCTATGAGTTTGCTGTGAGTCGTGAGTTGCCTGGAGTCTGTGTGAGGTGCTGTGTGAGTTCCAAAGAATTCTTCGGCTGCCCCACTGCCATTTAATGCAACATCTAAAGAGCGCTGCAAACTTTGCAGAGGCATAGGATTATGTGCTCCTTGCTGATGTTGTCTGCAGGGCCAAGAGCCGGGGAGGGGAGACAGAAGAGGAGGTGTCCCCGTGAAAAACACTGAAATGAAGCAGGTCCTCAGGTAACCCAGCCCTCAGTCCAAGAGTTCTGGCAGGAGAGAAGCCAGTTAGGAAGTAGAGGATTCTGGCGGAGTCCAAATAAAAATCTGCTCTTGCAATGAAGCTCAACCTGCAGTTCACTGACCTTCACTGAGGTCACAAGGAAACAGGGCAACTTCCTGAGAAACGGAAACTGGAAGAGCCTCATCAGTGAGCAGTGAAAAGCCCTCAAGAACCGGGTTCCTACAACCAGAACAGCCCTCTCTCGTGTCTGTGGTGCAGCAGAAATTCCAGGGCCTGGATAGAGTCCCACATTCAGTGTGATTCATCGTCATGTTGGATCTAGAACCAGATCTAGAACTTTCCTTCATTTCACCCAACTTCACCCAGAGATGAGAGAAATCAGGTTCTCCAGTCACACAAAAGTCATGCTTGAGTGATTTCTTTCTTCAGCATGTGTGAGGGAGCTGGGAAATGGCAGTGACTTCGGTACACCCCCACCCCAGGAAAATGCGCTGTTGTCTGGATTAGACAGCACCCAGATTGCCTTCTCTCACCGCTGCAATATGCACTCCATTAATTCAGATGGGCATATCTAGGCCAGATTCAAGCACCTCCAAATAGCAATGAAAGACAAAAAAGATACAGTGAGGCTCTTACTTACGACCTTTTAACAGGGGCCAACAAGCTATCACACGTTTGTCAACTCTGGCCTCCACTTTTTGTAAATAAAGTTTTATTGGAACACTACCCACTGCCGTTACCCTGATCTGCACAAGGTCTGTGGTCACTTCCAAGTTCTAAAAGCAGAGCTGAGATGTAGGGAGAGAAGTTCTTTGGCCTGAGAGTGTAAAGTATTTACTATCTGACCCCACTAGCAACAGAGCACTGTCTTAGAAAGGAAACTCCCACAGTGCATTTCACTCTTGGTTCTCTGTGTTCACAAATGAGAATCTTCTTCCCAGGCAGACCAGGAGGCATCTCCGTTTTGGAGGGAGTGAGGCGTGGGCCTGCTGCTGTCACACTGGGAGACACGTACGTTTGCACGGTTGCTTGTGATGGAAACGCAACGACCACAAAGAGGTTCCAAGTTCAGGTTCTCACCAGCCAATCTTCTTGCTCTCTGGTCTCCCTTTGGTGGGGACCTGTGCAAGAGGGGTTGGGAGGGAGGAGGAAGGTTCTGGGATGGGTTCAGGCATGCATTGGTGTGGCAGAGGAGAAGAACAGGACCATAACAGAGAAGAACATGGAGATCGAAAAAGCCGGTGGAGCTGGAAGACCAGCTGATGTCTTGGGAAATGCTGAACGGAACGTGGCTTCTGTTTGGGTTTCCGGGATCACCTGCTGATGCCGTCGCATTCAGATACCCGCTCACTCAGCCTCCGGGTCCCACAGACACCTCGTCAGTGCCGCCTCCACTGACCCACAGAAACAAGTTTTGACTCTTGCCAACACCACAAAGAGCCTTAGGTGCCTGAAGTGGTGAGTACGACCATCAGGACAAATTCTCCACTGGGGTTAAGAGTAGTGAACACATAGAGGAAAGAGTGTGAACATTGTTCTATTCTGACAGGGGCCATTAAGGCCTTCTATAAGATATCACTAACATGTTGTTAAAGGTTGAGCCTTGTGAACCTTCATACATATATAACCGTATTATATCTCCTGCCCCCGCGCCTGGCTGTCCTCACCGGGGCCCCTTGGAGGGGGGAGGGTTGAGTTTCTCCCCCCCCCCACCCCGAGCAGAGCCCCAGCAGCTGAGGATCTCTGTAGCCAGCCACGACCATGCTGGGACCACTCTCCACACATCCAGACGGGCCTCATGCATGAAAGAACTGGCAGAGGAACCCAGGCATGCAGGTCCTGGGGCTGAGGTCTCCAAGCCTACTCGGATTGGGACTGGGCCTTCTCCAACCAGACCCCCCATCTTCCAGTAGGTAGGCGTCACACTCAAGCTGCTGCCAGCGCCAGGTTGATCCCATCAATGGCCAAGACGCAGAGACTATAAAACCCAGCTCCCGGAAGCGTGTGGCCGCATTTGCGGCTGCGTGACATCTTATTATCTTATTTTTCCTTTGGAGAGCCTGGCAGGCTACCAAACATATCCTGCCCACATGGCAGAGTCTGGCTAACTTCCCGTGTCGTACTCAATATGCCAAATACCAGTAACAATGATGGGTCTCATTCTCCTAATCCTGAAAGAGCATTGAAATGGCTCTTTTAAAATCTCAGGGCTAGGAAGAAGGAGACGTTACTGGTGCCTGCTCGAGGAAATCGACAAACAACAGGATGATCGTGATCATGATATCTATCTATATATCTATATATTTCCTTCTATGATTGGTTACCTACATTTGAACCCCATCAAATGTGGTGCGGTAATCTTGGAGTATGGGTAGGGTGTGTCTTATGATGTGTTGCTCGGCCACTTTCCTCTCTGGATACTTTTTTCTAGCATTTTTCAGCGGTTTTTCATAACAAAATATATTATTTCAATTCTGCTTTGAGATCAGGATTGGGGTTTGGGATGGAAACATCCCAAATATGGTGGTGGGAAGGTGTCATGGTTGGTGGTATTGGTGTTTGAATATTAAATGTATTCAGATATTGCGAACTACCTCATAAGATAAAAAAAAGTTTAAAAAAAAAAAGAGTAGTGAACGTGGGGCTGCAGCGAGAGTACGGTAGGGAGGTGTCTGCCTTGTACACGGCCAACTGGGATTCGATCCACCTGGTTCCCGGAACACCGTCAGGAGTAATTCCTAAGTGCAGAGCCAGGAGTCAAGCTTTGAGTGTCACTCAATGTGGCCCAAAACAAAGCATAGAAAAGAGTAGCAGAGGGGCCGGAGTGGTAGCACACACAGTGGGTAGGACATTTGCCTTGCACACGGCCAACCTGGGTTCAATCTCCGGCATCCCACATGGTCCCCTGAGCACTGCCAGGAGTAATTCCTGAGTGCAAAGCCAGGAACCCCTGAACATTGCTGGGTGTGACCCAAAAAGAAAAAAAAGGAGTAGCAGAAGCAGGGCCTGGTCACTCCCCCAGGGTCACGGCCTGGGAATCTGTCAGCCCTGGGACTTGGTTACCCCCCAGGGCCGCGGTCTGGGTACCCATCAGCCCTGGGACTTGGGGCGGCTGGTGGCGTCTATAGCTGCCTCGTGTGCCTGGCTCATTGCATGGAGGGGTGGTCCCGGGGGCTTCACCACTGACCAGAAGGAGCCCAGGGGACGGCAGGAGCCATGGGCACAGTCTAGCCGGGAGGACACTCTAGTGACTCCATGTCATCCCGGTGCCCCTCGCAGGGAACTCATCTGCAGGATAAGCCACACATTACCCTGGCACAGCAGACGCCAGCTGCCAGCAGAGTTCAGGGTGCTCGGCAGAGCCCTGTGCTCCCTCCAGAGGGCTGCTGGTCGGGGTACACCAGCTGGCCCTTAACATGTCACCGGCCACACCTGTCTCCCACGGCTCCTGGTGTTCATGTTAAAGGTGAAAATAAAGGCACAAGGCAATGGAACCATCTGTTTCAGGTGGCTCCAGGGGACTTAGAGGAGCTTAATGGCGGGTCACTGTGACGACAGTGATGGCAGCTCAGAACTCAGATGGTCGTTCCCACCCCCACAGCTCGGGCTCTGCCAGGTCAAGGGATTCTCCAGTGTGAGGAAACAGGGCGCCGAAGAGGCAAGGAGGCAGCCCCCTACTCAGGGGCAGCACCCGTTAGAACCGGGAGAGGAAGGGGACAGGGCAGCGCAGGGGTCACCTGTGTGCTTGGTGCCAATGTGTGTCTTGATCTCGGCCTCCTCCATGGTGACAAAGTCGCAGGCCGTGCAGCAGATGGAAAACATCCACTGCTCCTTGTCCACGTGCAGTGACATGTGGCTGACGAACTGCACGTTGAGTTCCGTCTCGAATCCACACACATGGCAGCTGGCGGGGTGGGGGGGAGAGGAGTGAGGCTTCCAGATGGGATGTCCCCCCTATGCCCCAAACTCCATGCCCCCAGAAGATGGGGCTTTTCCCAGACATTCTTCCTTCCCACCCAAAGGGTTTGCTCTAGAATATTCTACTAATCCCCATGCCAAGCAGACACGAAGCACCAGTTATTGTGGCAATCCCATACATGCAGCCCTAGAGCTTAAAAAATGTCATCTAGGGGCTGGAGCAATAGCATAGCGGGTAGGGCGTTTGCCTTGCACATGGCCGACCCGGGTTCGATTCCCAGCATCCCATATGGTCCCCCGAGCACTGCCAGGAGTAATTTCTGAGTGCATGATCCAGGAGTAACCCCCTGTGTATTGCTGGGTGTGATCCAAAAGGCAAAAAAAAAAAAAAACGTCATCTAGGGGCTGAAGTGATAGCACAGTGGGTAGGGTGTTTGCCTTGCACATGGCCAATCTGGGTTTAAACCCTGGCATCCCATATGGTCCCCCAAGCACCGCCAGGAGTAATTCCTGAGTATATGAACCAGGAGTAACCCCTGAGCATCACTGGGTTGTGGCCCAAAAAGAAAAAAAAATCATCTAGTTAATTTAAACCTGCAGATTCCAGTTGTTGCAGACCCTGACTCCTCTGGGCCCAGGGAGACGTGGACCAGTCAAGCTCATAGAGTGGAGGCTGGGGGCACGGCATCTTCTCTCTGGCTCGTGTGGGCACAGATGGGGTGTCAGAGGCCACTCCCTGCCCGACACGTCCTGCTACAGGCCCCCGTCCCCAGGGACGCTCTACACCAAAGTGAGTGTCCACCCGGCCGCAGGGTCACCTGCACAGCCAAGCATGGACTCTCACAATCACCAAGGCAAACGTGGCCCGGAAAACAAAACTTCGAGGCCAAAGGGGAAGTGTGTGTGTGTGGGGGGGACTTTTCCACGCTCTTCCTATGCTCCCAGCCACCGCCACCCCCCACCCCAGCCTTCCCCATGCCCTGGCGGCTCACCTATAGTAGTAGGGGTGCTTCTTCCCATCCCCGCCTTCGGAGGTGACGGCGCTGACGAGGTCCTCGGCGTCCGTGCTCACCAGCTTCACGGAGTGCACCGTCAGGTGCTGGTTGAGGTTCGCACGGCACTTAGCAGCATACGGGCACAAGTGGCATTTGTATTTTCTTTCCTCTGGGGGGAGGAGAGACAGGACATCACTTCTGATGGCTCTCCGGCGCCATACTCCACCCCGTAAGAGACCGCTTTGGGGTAAGCAGGAGCGAGCGACCCAAGGCTCATTTCAACTCAGGGGATGACGGGAGCGGGTAAGGTGGGACTTTCATGACCCAGGAGGCCACAACTGGGTGTGCATTTTATTTAAAACAACAACAAAATTTGTTGTCATTTTGGGGCCACACCCAGCAGTGTTCAGAGCTTGTTCCTGGCTCCACGCTCAGGGATGATTCCTGGTGGGGCTTAGGGGATCATATGGAGGTGCTGGGGATCGAACTTGGGTCAGCTGTGTGCAAGGCGAGCACCTTAACCGCTGTGCTATCTCTCCAGTGACTCCTGGTGTTTATTTTGAAGGTTAAAAGGATGGTACGAGGCAACTGAATCATCTGCTTTCCTCCCTGGATACCTACAGGCCCTTCTTCCTGATAAGGCAAGACCCTAAGAGGCTAAAAGAATATCAAGTGAAAATTTACCTATCAGTGCATGGACATGCAGAGAATCACGTTAAATGAAATGAGTCAGAAAGAGAGGGACAGACATAGAAGGACTGCACTCATTTGTAGAATAAAATCACTGCCACTGTCATCCCGTTGTTCATCGATTTGCTTGAGCGGGCCCAGTAACGTCTCCATTGTGAGACTTGTTGTTATTGTGTTTGGCATATTGAATATGTCACGGGGAGCTTGCCAGGCTTTGCCGTGTGGGCGAGATACTCTTGGTAGCTTGCTGGGCTCTCCGAGGAGGGTGGAGGAATCGAACTCAGGTTGGCCATGTTGGCTGCATGCAAGGCAAACGCCCTACCCGCTGTGCTATCGCTCCAGCCCAGTGGAATATAAAATAACATAATATAAGACTAACACCCACGGACAGTAGACACAAGGGCCAGGAACATTGTTCCATGGTTGGAAGCCTGCCTTATGAGTTGGGGAAGAAGGCAGTTGGGATAGAGAAGGGATCACTAAGTCAATGATGGTTGGAGGGATCATTCGGGATGGGAGAGGTGTGCTGAAAGTAGATAAAGGACCAAACGTGATGGCCTCTCAGTATCTGTATTGCAACCCAAAATGCCCCTAAGTAGAGAGAGAGTAAGAGGAAAATTGTTTGCCATAGAGGCAGGGGGAGGGGTGAGGTGGGGGTGGCGGGAGGGATACTGGGGACATTGGTGGTGGAAAATGTGCACTGGTGGAGAGATGGATGTTCGATTGTTGTATGACTGAAAATCAATATGAAAGCTTTGTAACTGTATCTCATGGTGATTCAATCAATTTGCTCAAGCGGGTCCAGTAACGTCTCCATTGGAGATTTTGTTGTTACTGTGTTTGGCATATCGAATACATCACGGGTGGCTTGCTAGGCTCTGCCGTGTGGGCGAGATACTCTCGGTAGCTTGCCGGGCTCTCCGAGAGGGGTGGAGGAATCGAACTCGGGTCGGCCATGTTGGCTGCGTGCAAGGCAAACGCCCTACCGCTGTGCTATCGCTCCAGCCCTAAAAAAGAATATCATGTGAGGGCTGGGTGATGGCTAAAAGGGCTGGAGCCCCAGTGCATGATCCCCAGAGTACTGCAGGTGTGGCCTGGGGACCGGACACCACTGGGGCTGGCCCCCAGACCCCCAAGCACAGCCTGGGACATTTCCCTCAAAACACATAAGAACAATCAGATCTTGTATGTGTGTGTATGTGTGTGTGTGTATGTATGTGTGTATGTGTATGGGTGTGTGTGTGTGTGTGTGTGTGTGTGTGTGTAAGAGGGGTGGGCATAGACGGGCATGAGCAGGGAAGGGGCTAGCGTGTAAGAGAAGCGCCATCATTTTCCCTGAGCTCCAGGCCCGGGTCAGCCAAGAAATAGAAAACTAATGAAATTAAGGGAGGAAAAATGACAGCGTGGAATAATCTAATTGGAAATGTTCATTTTACATAAATAAAATTTAAAAAACTTCAATTAATTTCTTAATGAAAACCCTCTCATAAAACTGACAATGTCTCAGGATTCTTTCCACAGTGGCATGCGGAATTCATTGGATTAATCAAGGAGATTAAAGCCCAAGGAGCGGGCTTCGCTTTCTGCTGAAGGCCCAGAGAAAGGTAAGGAGCGCGCGAGAGCAGAAGGCAGCATCAGCTTCCCCGAGGACAGGTTTTCCCGTTATCTGAGAGTTCCCATTCGGGATGATTTGTGGGCTAGTCTGATGGGAGCGGGGGAGGGAGGAGGGCATTACCATTAGTCTAAATGGAATAAATCATAAAATTTGAGGTTCCCGGACCTCCCAGGTCAACCTGCCAAATCACACCAAATGGGAACATTCTGGTTTCGGAGAACCAGGGAAACCTTGGCTGGACTCAGCTGAAAGAAAACCCCGTTTCTTCTCTTCCATGGGGGATAACGGGGCAATCTTCAGCGAGCCACCACCGACTGTGAGCGCTCAGCATTGTTCTAGGTCCGTCAGTCATCTGCACGCTGATGAGCGGGTCAGGCTGGGTCAGAGGGAGCCCTTCCTTCCTCTCAAGGCTGGATTTGCAGTCTTAAGTGACGCCATCATGTTTGGTTTCAAGTCCTTCATAAAGTGACTCGCTGAGCTTCCTGTCTTCTATTATGTGGAAAGGTTTAATAATATCAACAGGTTGTAACCTCAAAAAGTTCAGAAGAACTGGCCTGGGAAGGGTTGGAGCGATAGCACAGCGGGGAGGGCGCTTGCCTTGCACATAGCCGATCCCAGGTTCGATCCCTGGCATCCCATATGGTCCTCTAAGCACCGCCAGGAGTTCCTGAGTGCAGAGCCAGGAGCAACCCCTGATCATCGCCAGGTGTGGGGGCCCACAAACAAAACAAAACAAAAACAGAAAAAGAGAATAAAGATTTCCTGGGGCTGGAGTGGTAGCACAGTGTATCTGGGGGATAAGGCGTTTGCCTTGCACACAGTCAACCCGAGTTCAATGCTCGGCATCCCATAAGGTCCTCTAAGCACCGCCTGCCAGGAGTGACTCCTGAGCGCAGAGCCAGGAGTAACTTACCCTTGAGCATCGCTGGGTGTGGCCCCCCAAAAAACAAAACAAAAACACCCTCAAAACAGAAAGAACTGTCCTGGGACCATTTCTGCAGCTCACTCATTGCGGTTCCACCACCTCTCAAGATTTACTTACGTCCCCCACCACCTTGGGTTAATTTTGGAAATTTTGCTTCTGTTACAGAAGCCATTTAAGTTCTGACATTTTGGGTGAGGGCTATGGAGTTTTCCTTGTTCTCCAAGAATGCACTCATCTCACTGGTACAGGACATTATTAGGCTTTCTTTTCCTTTGGATAATTTCTGCTTCCTTTTCCTTTCTTAATCAGACCCAAAGGGATTCATCTACCTTGTTGTCTTCTTCCAGAACTCTAGTGTTTTCTTCTTTATCTGTTATAAACTAATCCTTTAGGATGAGTGTGAAGTTCCTTTGTTTTTGCCTTTCTTCATGTTTAAGTCAAACATTAAGTCTGTGCATTTGTCTTTGGAGTGTGGCTGTCAAACAGAAGTTCTCCATCTCATTCCTTCAGATGCCTGCAATATGCATTTTGACTTTCTTTCTTTTCTTTGATCTGATTAGGCAGGACATCTTACCGATCCTATTTTCATTCCATATATTCTGGGGGTGGGGGGCCCCCCAAGCAGTGTTCTGGGGCTCTGGGAGACATTCCCAGTAATACCTGTCCAACTGGTCCAGTGCAGGCCCAAGGATGTAGGTGCCAGGAATTCTGTGGGTCACCCTCAAGTGCTGGGGGGAGGGGGGGATCCTTTAGGACTATACAAACAGTGCTCAGAGGACCAGGTGGTGTCAGGATTAGAACTCAGGTCCTCCCCAAACTACTGAGTAATCTTCCCAGCCCCTCATCCACTATGTTATTTAATTTTTGGTTTGGGGCCACACTTGGCAATGCTCAGGGCTTACTCCCGGCTTTGTGCTTAGGGACCACCCTTGACTGTGTTTCGGGGGAGGATATGCAGGGTCAGCTGTGTGCAAAGCCAGTGCCTTGCCCACTGTACTACCTCTTTAGCCTGCAGCAAAGTTGGAACCAACCGGCTGGAGAGAGCCCAGAGGTCAGGGCATCTGCCTTGCACGCAGCAGAGCCCGATGTGTACTTCAGCATGCAAGTAGTGGGTGTGGCCGCCAAACCCCAACCCCATGAGAAGTGGAGCCAACGACAAGGGGTGCAGTCCCTGGACCCTCAAGACCAGAGAGTCTGGGCCTTTAACCTGGAAATGTGTGGATGTATCTCTTTGAGCCTCAATGTCCTAGAACTCTGAGTTCCTCCAGAACAAATAAAAAGCGTCTGAGAGTCTCATCTGGGCACTGGGTCAAACGGGTGAACAGGTCGTGCCACGGACATCTCCTCCACGTCTTTTTTTGGTTGTTGTTCCTTTTCTTTTTTGTTTTGTCTTTGGGGGAGCCATACCCGGTAGAGCTCAGGAACATATGGGGTGCCCAGGGATGGTACCCAAGCTGGCTATGTGTAAGGCCAATGCCCTCCCATCACTGTCCCATCACTCCTGCCTGTCTTAATTCAGATCCCTTACAGAAGGGGAGTGGAACCTTATCTTTTTTAATTACAAAAAAAAAAAATAATAAGTTTTTGCCAAGAGCCTTTGGCATGTTGCAAGTGATATCATTTACACATGTGCAGAAGCACCCATGCCTGTCCTGTCATGCCCCAGGGCTGACCGTAAGGCCCACAGGCCCAGCATTCCCCAACCCTTCTTGGTCACGGGACGCTGGCGGAGCGTACTCACCCGTGTGCAACGAGAGATGCCGGGACAGCGTCTGCTGCCGGCCGAACACTTTCCCACACACGTCACAGGGGAAGAGCTGGTCGTTGAATTTCCAGGACGGTAACCCATTGCCAGCCTCTAGCACGATCTTCTCCGTTTCTGTGTCAAAGAGAAGAAGGTACCGTGAGTGCTTTCCGGGGGCACGAGAACACGCGCTGCGTCATGCAACACACAGGACCTCGACAGAGGCTGGTGGGCGCATGGGGACCCGGGACCCTCCTTCTCAGGTCTCCAAGGCGCTGTTGACAGATGGCTTCCGGCGTCAGCTGGGAACCCACTGTGCCCCTCCGTGGTGACGGGTCAGCCCACCGGGATACCAGAGGGACGCAGTGTGAATCTGTCGCAGGACTTGCCCATTCAACCTACGGAGACAGAGTCAGGAACGCGGACTCACAGCGTCCAGGGGACAGAGAGGTTGACTCCCTCGACAGGAAATGCTTTTACTGCCCTCCAGAAGGAAAGTTTGGGCCAGTGTTCTGGTTGTGTGGAACCTTTCACAAGGGGCTTCCATGACAGACACACCCCGGCCTGCTGCTGGAGATGAGCAGATGGCTGTGGGCCTCTCACATTCACAAGAGGGGGGGTATCCCACTGGACCCAGCCCCAGCAGCCAAAAACTTCCAGAACCCAGCTGCTGCCACGCCCATGGCCACTCTCCACACACTTGGGCCAGTATCACCCATGAGTGACTCTATTCCTGGACCTCAAGGCTGCATTCACAGCTGCGCGATACTTCAAACTACGTACCTTACCCATACTCCAATATTACTGCATCACATTTGATAGGTTTCAAAGTAGGAGGCAACCAATCTTAGAGGGAAATAGACATTTTTTACATATATATATATATATATATCACGACCATGATCACGACCATCCTGTTGTTTGTCGATTGCCTCGAGCAGGCCCCAGTAACGTCTCATTCATCCTAGCCCTGAGATTTTTAAAAAGTGCCATATTCAAGGCTCTTTCAGACTTAGGAGAATGAGACCCATCATTGTTACTGGTATTTGGCATATTGGGTACGCCATGGGGAGTTTGCTAGACTGCCGTGTGGGCAAGTTACATTCGGTAACCTGTCGGGTTTGTCCAAAGTAAATATATATATACACACACACAAAGTAAATACACACACACACACACACACACACACACACGGCTCAAACCTTTAACAACATATTAATGCTCTCTTATATAGTAGGGCTTAATGACCCCTGGGTAAAATACAACAACCTCCACACTCTTTCCTATAAGGATACTTTTTTGTAGCATTTTCAGCAGTTTTTCATAACAAACAGTACAAAATATATTATTTTGGTTCTGTTTTGGGGCAGGGGTCGGGGTTCGGGATGGAAACATCCCAACTATGGTGGCGGGAAGGTGTCATGGTGGTGGGATTGCCGTTTGAATGTTAAACGCAATCAGATATTGTGAACTACTTTATAAAACTAAAAAAAAAAAAAAAATAGAGGGCCGGCATCTCGGCCACCTTCAATCTGGCCTGACCCTGAGCCCGAACGCCCAGTCATGTTTTGCTGGTTTCCACGTCACCCCAGTCATGATGTCTGGTGACCGCTGCTGCCGGAAGGAATTGAGGCTCGGCCCTACATCAAGTTCGCTAAGGCAAGGGAGCCAGCGACAATTTCCCCGTAAGCCTAGAGTAGTTGGGCAAACGATGATGCAACACGTTATAAGTACGTAAGTCAGAGCCGGGAATGAAGGAAGAGGACATCAATGGTCATCTGCAACCTTTGTTATCTTCGAGAGCAGCAGAGATTGCCTGGAGTTTTCTTTTTGGGTCACACCCGGCAATGCACAAGGGTTACTTCTTGCTCTGTGCTCAGGAATTACCCCTGGCGGTGCTCAGGGGACCATATGGGATGCTGGGAATCAAACCCGGGTCGGCCGCGTGCAAGGCAAACACCCTGCCCGCTGTGCTACTGCTCCAGCCCCTGCCTGGAGTTTTCTTATCTGTCTCTTCCCCCTCAACTGTAATGGACGACAAACGTTCCTCTACAGTAATACAGAAAAGAGGGGAAGAGAGGTGACAGAGAAAGGAGGTCGCTTCCCTGGGGACAGAGGCTTGCTAGGGTCACTGGAAGACCGTGGGCCTCACTTTGTAGAACAGGCCCAATAATTTACTCAGTTGGTGCTCTGTCCTTTGCTCAGGTTCCACTGGCTGGCACGGTGCAGGCAAATGCACGTTGATCCGGCCACTCCCAAACAGAGGTGGGCACCTTCCCTGGGTCCATCACAGTGAGTACATTATTGTGACTTTTCTGCAAGTAAAAAGACGGTTGCAGAGAACTGGGGATTTCGTGGTGATCATGAATAGGTGGAAAGATTTTCTTAAGCTCCAGGCTGACCCAAAGGCTGAGCTCGTGGGCAGAGACAACGTCGGAACAAAGAACATTTATTTCACACCGTCCTGTCCCATCAGCCAAGCGCTGCTCCCCGCCCCGCCCCCCGCCCCCACCCCCCCCAGGATCCAGGGAAGGTGCCCACCTCTGTTTGGGAGTGGCCAGATCAATGTGCATTTGCGTGCACTGTGCCAGCCAGTGGAACCTAAGCAAAGCAGCAGCAAATACAGATGTGTGCTCGCAGGTGGGGAGGGTGGCAGAGTCGCTACAATGTTTGCTCTCAGGCACGCGCCAACAAACCCGGCACTGATAAGGCCCATCGATTAGTGTACCTGTAGAGGTTCAAACAAGGCTCTCGCGCTGCAGGAGAGCAGTCTTCTTACTACAGCAAGAACGAGTGACTGGAAACTCCAAAGGGGCAGGGGTGGGGCTGTGTGGGGAGGGGAGGGGTCAAGAGGTCACGGAAGGTTGAGGACGACTGGAAGGGCTCTGTGAAGCTCTGGCTGTCACTGAGTCCAGTGGTGGGCGTTCCTGCTGTGCAGAGAAGAAGGGGGATTCTAATTGTTCCTGTTAAGTGCACAACGGAAACAGTGTCCCCAAAAGCGAAGGGAGGGGTTGGAGCGACAGTCCAGCAGGGGAGGGCATTTGCCTTGGGCACGGCTGACCCGGGTTCGATTCCCAGCATCCCATATGATCCCCTGAGCAAAGCCAGGAGTAAACATGTGCATCACTAGGTGACACAAAAAGGAAAAAAAAAAGGAAGCAAAGGGGAATTTTATAAGGAAGGGTTCGAGAGGGTCAGAGCTTTCCCGTAGAGTTACCAGAATGAATGACTTGGGTCACACACAAAAGCAATGAAATAAATTAATATATTGTTCAAGAATTCCTCATGTACTCGAGCAGCTGAAGTGTCGTAAAAAGTTAACGTCCCTCTCCTGGCCTGAGAAGGGATCCAAAGGAGGAGGCTGGGGGACATACCGCCTCCAGCCTCCAGCCTCCAGCCTCCAGGATGGAGGCCGGCTGCAAGGATGCCCTTCCCCCACCCCCATGTCTGCACTGACTCGGCCACTGTCTTCATGCTGCACTGAGGAAAGGTGACCTCTGGCCACTGACTCCAAAGCTAGGAAATCCCAGAGAGGGGAGGTGAGCAAGTGATCAGGGATAGGGGAAGGGAGTCTGACATCCACAAATGACAGAGTGACGAAACGCCAAGTCAATCGGGGGACCGACCTAAAGTGAAAAGGAGCCTGGCAGAAGCCGGTGAGGGGTCCCGGCCAAGGGCTGTGTCTTTCCTCCCTCTCTCAGCCCCCACACCCCGGAGCAGTCCCCTCAGGCTATCCACACCGACAGGCCCTCAGGCTCTTAGAGGTCTCTGGCCTGCCCTTTGCAGGCAGGACCCACTCACCGGGAATAGCCAGCAGTGACAGGTCAGTTTTGCTGGGTCCCTGTGAGACTTTTCTGGACAGGGAGCACATTGGGTCTGTAGTTCATGAGGATCCAAAGGCATCAAAGACTTAAACTGTGAGTCATTCGGTAGGGAAACATTGAGAGAAACGGTGACACCAGCCGTTTCCAGTCTCTGGGGCTTAGTAACGTGGACGGCACCTGCTCTCAGAGCCAAGGGTTCAAGAAGGGCACCGAGGGCAGCAGGTCCCGGATTTCAGGGTGCTCCCTCTGTCGCACTGATCCGGTGGGCTGCCCTGGTGACCACGGTGGTCTTGGGCCACAGGACGAAAGAAAAGGTGCCATACTGTACTGTGTGTGTGTGTGTGTGGGAGGGGGGAGGCAAGACATGCAAGCCAGGAAGATGGAACACTTTTTTTTTTTTTTGCTTTTTGGGTCACACCCAGCGATGCACAGGGGCTACTCCTGGCTCTGCACTCAGGAATCATCCCTGGCGGTGCTCAGGGGACCATATGGGATGCTGGGAATCGAACTCGGGTCAGCCGCATGCAAGGCAAATGCCCTGCCCACTAGGCTACTGCTCCAGCCCCAAGATGGAACACTCTTATGTGAAGTTTTTCTATATTTTGATTTTTAATGGGCTCTGAAAATAGAATAGGTGTGTGTGTGTGTGTGTGTGTGTGTGTGTGTGTGTGTGTGTGTGTGGTATGTTTCTGTATCAAAGATCTTTCTGGAAGCCCACTGTGTAAATGAGTCACCTCTCACCATGGCTCATGCAAAACTCTCCTCCAGTCTCTCTTCCTCCTTACTGATTCCAGAACTTTCTTTAGGAGATGCAAATCGGACCATGTCATTGGTGGTGGGAAATGGACACTGGTGGAGGGATGGGTGTTGGGACGTCATATGACTGAAACCCAGTCATGAAAGCTTCATAACTGTGTATCTCATGGTGATTCAATTAAAAAAAAAATCAGATAGTGTCTCGTCCTGTTTCCATGAGCTCCCTGTGACCAAACTCCTTTACATGGCTGCTCAGCTCCTCAGACTCCGGCTCCACAGCCACTTCAGCTGCCCCCTTCACCTCACGGACCCTCAGATGCTCGGCCGAGGGGGCTGCTCACTCTGCCAGGAGCCCCCTGAGAACCCCTTCAGCGGGCAGTGTCCGCAGTGAACCATCACCGGAAGTGGTTCCGCCCACCTGGGCACGCCTTTTACCTGGCCACTCCTGACTCAATTTCCAGCCCCTTCTGGATTCATCTCCTAGGTCCCCGACTTTCTCGGCAGTGAGTCATTTCCTCCTCTCAGCCCCAAAGCAATTCCGTGAAGTCGCCTGTT